GAACTGTGTTTGGCGCATGGCCTACCCACACATTTGGTGAATGCATGAAGAAGCAGATAACATTACTGACCCGATTTTCCTGCTATTTCATATATTTACATAAAGGTCTTTTGGGAATACTCATATTTCTAACATTGGTCCTCATGAATGTCTTTTCCATGTATTCTAGAAAGTGCTAACCAGTCTTCAAAATGCAAGCAGCATATTTCTCATCTGATTTTATGCGGGTATACTCTGAAGGGAATGAGTTTACATTTCTACTGCCACTAACAGGATGGTCAAATTTGTGGCAATGCACAACTATTTCTATGGAATTCAGAGCCAAACTGTGAGTTTTCATATTGGAGGTTACATTTATCTAATGAAAAAGCCTGGACACCTAAGTCCTTAAGCAATGGTGCAAAGTATTTGATTACATTATTTTTCTAGTCTTCAGAACGTTTCAAGGCCCATTCTCTTTGTGATTAGTTACCTATCCGTCCAGGCCAAACAGACTGGGGTTATAATGCAGGATTATATAACAGTAGAAATATGATTTTGCTGGCCACTCTACTGTGAAACCCGGTAGAATTATGCCAAGTCCCGCTGGGCTGCAGCTGCTCTACTCTGCCCAAAATGCTGATCTGCACCGGGGTGAGCACATGCCACTTGAGATGCTGGCTGATGAGGCAGACAGACCCCTTTCTCACAACTCCAGGGTCACAGTCTGATACTCAGAGGCCAAGGCAAATAACGTCTCACAGAGATTTTGACAAAAAAAAAAAAAAATGGTTATTTCAGATTTTATTCAAGATCCCCTTACCATAAAAATCCATACACAAATCTGTGGTATCAACAGCAGAGGCTGGACAGACCTCTGAATCATCTTCCACTATGATGTTGAAGGTTTTTTTTTGAGACAGAGTCTCACTCTATTGCCCATGCTAGAGTGCTGTGGCATCAGCCTAGCTCACAGCAACCTCAAACTCCTGGGCTCAAGCGATCCTCCTGCCTCAGCCTCCCGAGTAGCTGGGACTACAGGCATGTGCCACCGTGCCCGGCTAATTTTTTATACATATTTTTAGTTGGCCAATTCATTTCTTTCTATTTTTAGTAGAGATAGGGTCTTGCTCTTGCTCAGGCTGGTTGCGAACTCCTGACCTTGAGCAATCCACCCGCCTTGGCCTCCCAGAGTGCTAGGATTACAGGCGTGAGCCACCGCGCCCGGCCTGATGTTGAAGCTTTAATATTGGACTAAGCCTGGACCTTCTTCTACTCTTTCCTCAAAGGAAGAATCCTTTCTTTGGAGGCTTCCTTCCCCTTCCTCAGGCAAGTAAGTGCTGACTGCTCCAGCCCACAAGGTCTCCAGACACACCCTAATGGATGGGGAACATGTAGTTCTTAAGGTACTTCTTTGGAGTCTCAATAATCAAAATAAAACTAATAATCATAGCTAATGTTTAGTTTGCACTTAATGAGTGCTAGGCATTTGAGCTAAGCACTACCATCCCAGGAAACTGAGGCTTAGAAAACTTTAAAAACTTGCCCAAGCTCAAAAGCTTGGAATTGGAGGAAGCAGCAATTAAATACTGGTGTTTCTATTACTGTCTACCCAGAGGCTATGCTCTTAACTAATACACAGACTATCGCTTATTGCACAAGTAATTATAAGGTTCTTCTGTAAAATTCTATTCTGTAGAATAGAAGGTAAAACAAATCAAGGAAGTAGAGATGTTGGTTCTTCTGGATATTTACTCAACATATTATTTGATTCAAATTATTTGTATATGAGTTCTCTATTGCCACATAACATTATATCCCCAAATTTGGCAACCAGCCTGGTTCAGAGACTTTCATGAGGTTGCAGGGAAGCTATCATCAACCTCAAGACTCAACTGATGAAGGAGCTGCTTCCAGGCTCACTCAAGAGTGCTGGTGGGCCTCAGTTCCTCACTGACTGCTGGCAGAAGACTTCATTCCTAGACATCACGTGGGCCTCCCACAGGGCTGCCTGCCCAGCATGGCAGCTGCTTTCTCCTGGAGCAAGAGAAAGAGAAAAAGAGAATGCCCAAGATGGAAAGCTTCTACTTCTGCTGTATACTACGGTCACACAGACCAATCCTAGCACAAAGCGGGAGGTACCTACACCAGGAAGCAGAGATCACTGGGTACTATCTTAGAGGGAAGCTACTACACTTGCTAGCATTTGAGTCAATTTAGAGTTCTAACCCTGAATCTGCTATCTGCCATACAAATCAGTTTAGGTTCTCTTATATATAAAAATTCTAATTCAGAATCTTGACAGATAAAGGGCCTCAGGTAACTGATTCGAATTCTGAGTTCTCTCTCTCTTTTAAAAGATGCAATTTAAATAAAAATAACATTAGATAGCAATCACGGGGCCACCAGGAACTGGATGGCCCCATTCCAGGTTGCTCTTTGCCTTGTGCAGGAGGACAAGCCATCCATGACAAATGGCTGATTTTCTTCTCTTTAAAAAATTTTTTTTAATTATTTTTTTATTCGCGGCTTCTGTGGCTGTCTTACAAAAATTATTTTTTTATTTTTGAATCAGGTAGCCTCGGAACTAGAATAGGTTCAGAGAGACTCTCTATTTCCTTCTTAAGGATTTGTAGCTTCTTTGGTAGTTTACCAAATTGTTTGCACATTACTTCATGAGGGTTTCTGATGCCCAACTGATATTTCCCTAATGTTAAAATAAGACTTTTTCACCTTGTTTGGTCTGGACACAGGTCAACATTTTCTCAGAGAACCTTTCATTTATTTTGAAATATTAAAATAATATTTTAGGATACAAAAAACCAAGTTTATTTTCAAGAAGCTTTGCTTTCTTTTTCAGTTAGTTCCAGATAAGGATTGTAACTTAAGATGTTAGAAAGGATTAAGTACATTGCTAAAGGCATAGCTAACCTTCTTCAAGAAGCAGAAATAGTGAACACTAAATACAAAGAAATTACCAATACCGTGATAACATTTTAATCACATCTTTAAAAACTCTTCTGTGTTTTATGGAAATATTTATATTTCCTTATGTAAAACCTGCTGGCAGGGTTAGCTTCCCCTTATGTATTTTTATTTTCAATGTAGAATATAGGACTATTAAATATTCTTATCCAACAAATTATATTCTTCAAAGTTACACTTAGTTCTCTATCAGTAAACCACCATTATTATAAAAAAAGGAATATCTTGCTATGTTGAATTTAGCAGCTCAAACTCTTTTTTTTTTTCTTTTGAGAAGAGGTCTTGCTCTGTTCCTGGAGCTACACAGCACAGTGGCATCAACATAGCTCATGTAGCCTCAAACTCCTGGGCTCAAGCAGTCCTCCTGCCTCAGCCTCCAGAGTAGCTGGGACTACTGGCAATTCCACATGCAGCTGATTTTTGTATTTTTTGTAGAGATGGGTCTCACTATGTTGCTTAGATTAGCCCAAAATTTTAAATGCCTTATAATGGTGTCCTCAAATAAGACAGCCAGTAGCTAGCTACATGTGACTACTGAGCACTTAAAAAGTGTGGTAGTTCAAATTGAAATGTGCTACAAAATACACACTGGATTCTTAGGATTTAGTATAGAGGGGGAAAAAAAGGTAAGATCAATGATTTTTGTATAACAATGTAAAATATTAATAATTTCTGTATTGGCCGGGCATGGTGGCTCACACCTGTAATCCTAGCATTCTGGGAGGCTGAGGCGGGTTGGATCGCTCGAGGTCAGGAGTTCGAGACCAGCCTGAGAAAGAGCGAGACCCCTGTCTCTACTAAAAATAGGAAGAAATTAATTGGACAACTAAAAAATATATATATATATAAAATTAGCCAGGCATGGCGGCACATGACTGTAGTCCCAGCTACTTGGGAGGCTGAGGCAGAAAGATCGTTTGAGCCCAGGAATTGGAGGTTGCTGTGAGCTAGGCTGACACCACAGCACTATAGCCTGGGAAATAGAGCGAGACTGTCTCAAAAAAACACGTTATTTTTAATAACGTCTGTATTTATTATATGATGAAATGACAATGTTCTGGCTATGTACTAGATTAACTAAGTATTTTATTCAAATTAATTTCACTCTTTCTTTTTACTTTTTTTTTCATGTTCTTTTTACTTTCTTAATGTGCAGCATTGCCAGATAAAATACAGGACAATCAGTTACATGTGAATACCATATATGCCTGCATGGGACATAACAGTAAAAAATTATTTGTTCTTTACCTGAAATTCAAATTTAACTAGGTGTCTTCTGTTTTTATTTGCTAACCCCCCAGAAATCTAATATGGCCACTAGAAAATTTAACGTTAGAAACGTAGCTCCTTCTTCTACTGGACAGTGCTGCTTTAGAATCATCTAGTTGCTATTTCTTTTTCTTACTGGTTAACTCTTGCATAAACTCTATTCTATGCAGAAATCAGTCATTAGAGGGGAACATTTCATCCTAGGGTAGGATCGTTAATCTTGAAGTTAAATTTTTACATTTGCTTGAACAACATTCTTTGTTACAGACCAATTTATTAAAAAGGGCTTCTGGGCTGGCATTAAAAGCCATTGTTCCCGGTGTCTCTACTAGGATAGTTTACAGTCCCAGTTGCAAAATAATCCGTGTCACTCTTGTAGGCTTGGGCGGTGACAACTGTCTGGGGACCCTGGGCCCATCCCAGTCCTGGGCAAAGGGTCGGGAGGGCGGGGGTGTCGCTGAGACTCGAGCTTAGCGGCCACCTGCCCGTCCGCCCACCTGTCCCGCGCTGGAGGGTCGAGCTCGGCCTCGGAAGTCCAGGCCACGAGTGTCACCGCCGCCCTCCCCCGAGCCTGCGCCACCCGGCCACCCTCTAGGGGCCCCGCCCGGTCCCAGGTGCTCGCGGGGGCCCGGCGGCCCAGCTCCGCCCCCGCCGCGCCGGCCCAGAGCCCGCCCCGGCCCGCCCCTATGTAAGGCCGGCGCGGCGGCGGCGGCGACTGTGCGCGCGGCCCCGCTCGGTATCCTCCCTCTCGGGCGCGCGGGGGCGGCGGGCTCCGTGCACGCGCACTGCGCCCCGCGCCCGCCGCAGCCTGCGACCCCGCGCCGCGCCGCAGAGGGCGGCATGCGGGACTACGACGAGGTGACCGCCTTCCTGGGCGAGTGGGGGCCCTTCCAGCGCCTCGTCTTCTTCCTGCTCAGCGCCAGCATCGTCCCCAACGGCTTCAGCGGCCTGTCGGCCGTGTTCCTGGCGGGGACCCCCGAGCACCGCTGCCGCGTGCCGGACACCGCGAACCTGAGCGGCGCGTGGCGCAACCACAGCGTCCCGCTGCGGCTGCAGGACGGGCGCCAGGTGCCCCACAGCTGCCGCCGCTACCGGCTGGCCGCCATCGCCAACTTCTCGGCGCTCGGGCTGGAGCCGGGGCGCGACGTGGACCTGGCGCAGCTGGAGCAGGAGGGCTGCCTGGACGGCTGGGAGTTCAGCCAGGACGTCTACCTGTCCACCATCGTGACCGAGGTGGGTGCCCGCGCGGCCCCCGGGCTCGCGCGCCCCGCCGGGGTGCACGCTGGATGCTGTCACTCCCCTCCCTCAACACTCAACTGCCTGGTGACCGGTGTCCTCCGCGCCAGGCGGCTCAGAGCCCTTTGCGAGGTGACTTCCAACCGGAGTGTGCCCCTCGCAGCACAGACCTGTCCGGCCTCCCATTCTGGTGGCCGCATTGAAGAGGGAACCAGGAAGACCCTGGTGGCCCCTGGGAGACACTCCAAGGCCCTGAGGGGTCATTACTTCCTCTGGATGGAGTTGGGAGGGGTGAGCCAGGGCTTGGACCAAGGGGCTGTCACCGTCTTTCCTCCAGTCTCTTGGTATCCGTTCAGAAAAAAGGAAATACTCCTCTTTCTTGAACTTTTAAAGGAAGCATGTGTATAAAACTGCCTCTTCCCTCTTCTCTCCAGTTTCTCCTTCCCCCACCTATCCTCAACCCACAATGACAATCTGGTCATGCCCTGTAAGAAATTGTGTCCCTTTTGCCCATGGCCACTGGTCAGTCTTTTGGGATCCGTGCATCTGGAGATCTGTTCAGGGTGACTTGTGTGTGGACCTGGAATGTTTTCTAAGGTATTCTCTGGCAAAGTCGTGGTCCAGATTTAGTTAAAGCATACAACCTGAGTGCACAGGGAGTGGAGGAAACTTTCCTTTCATATTTCCCAGCCCCTTGGATTTTTCATTTTGGGCTGCTCTGTCTGTTCCCTGGCCAGCCTGTTGGAGCTGGATGTGTGACATGATGTTAATGGTGCTTGTGCTTTATGTCTTATTCAGACACCGGCTCTCTAACTCCCTGGAGTTCCAGCTGAGCTGGAGGAGCCGGCAGTGTCAGAGCTCTCCTTGATAGGCACTGGGTCACCAGGTTCACTAAGTGTCAGGATGAGGGATTCGCAGGTTAGAGAAGGTTTCCTGAGGGAGGAGGCCTCTCAGGGAGTCTGGGGTGTTCAGCTCAGCAGAATCCTGAACGGGAGGCCCAGGTGCAAGAGCAGGAAAATACCCAGCAGGAGGGCAGAGTTCTGGAGGGTGGAGAACTCAGGGGTGGGTGCCACAGGTCCATGGGTCCACAAAGAGTTGGAACCTTCATTTGTTTCAAATCCTGGGTCCTAGCCCCACAAGTGAATCTGTGACCTTCCTGGAAGCCACTGAGAACTGAAGGCAGAGGCTGTCCCGGGGGTTGCAGGCAGAAGCCATGGAGGAGAACAGGATACAGGAGTTCCTACAAGTTCTAGTGGCTGCAAAGAAGAGGAAGACAGTGAGGTCAGAAGCAGCTCATGGCATCTCCTGGGGTCTTGCCTTGACCCCTGAAGATCCCCTGATGTATTCGGGTCCTTGGCTCCTGCCCGGCTGCCCCCATCTTGCCTTTGCCAAGTGCTGGTAGCATCGATGCACTCACTCCCAAAGGTCAGCTGTGCCGGATGGCCTGAGCCTACCTTGCTGCCAATGTCAGTTTTTCATTTTTACATTCAGACCATCTATTTAGCTGTCTTAGCAGTTCTGTGAGCATTGTGTGCCCTTTCACTTACTTGCAGGTTGTCAGTCTTTGCAGGGAGGCGAGATTAATACTTTACTTAGCTCTGTTGCGGGATATTGGAATGTCTGACTTTAAAAATTCAAAGCTACTTTTTCCTCTCAGGAGAACAGTTGCTGTTGGAAACTGCTGCATCAACATTCTGATGGCTTTTTCTAAGGCCCATTTTCTTTCAACCCAGACCTGGCTGGGTTGCAGCAGCTAATTAGTCTCATGCCTGCTAAACACCTCCAAGCCTTGCCCTCTGCCCCAGATCATACAAAGAGGTATTTGTAAGTACAGTGGTGTTGGATTCCTTTTCGTGTGTGTGTGTGTGTGTGTGTGTATATATATATTTTTTTTTAAATAGGGGCTCACTCTATCAGACTAGAGTACTGTGATACAATCATAGCTCCCTGCAGCCTCAAACTCATGGGCTCAAGTGATCCTCTTGGCTCAGCCCTCAGTCCCAGTAGCTAGGACTACAGGCGAACGCCACCATGCCCGGCTAATTTTTTAATTGTTTTTTGTAGAGGCAGGAGTCTTGCTATGTTGCCCAGGCTGGTCTTGAACTCCTGGCCTCAAGAGATTCTCCCATCTCAGCCTCCCAAATACAGGCATGAGCTGCCATACCTGGCTTCCTATTCATATTATTCAGCCAAAGACTTGAATCTCAGGCCTCCTGTTTGGTTTTCTTTTCCCTTTGTTTAAGTTAAAATGTATACATGTAGTACTAAACTTTGTGGTAGCTTTAGATCAATTCCTGACACAAGGCTGTATTCAGAGGGAAGTTCTCAGGAAAATTTTTATTGACTGGGTTTGTGAATAATTTAAGAAATCATCTGTACAGTTTGACAACTGAAGAAAAACCAACGGTTTAATTCTTAGAAGGGAAATTTGAGAGTGGCCAAAAAGGATTGACTGTAATATCGTGAAGGAAATGTGATTTCCCACCTGTTAACTGGGGCTTGGTGCTATGTGGATCTGGAAGGAGATCTTGGGACTGGCAGAAGGAAGGGGACATTCCTTAGGAGATGAAAGAGGTTTGTGCTTACATGTTCCAGGAATAGCTTGGTGGTCCACATGCTTCCAGGCTGGCCCCTCTGCTGGCCCTTCAGTCATGCCTGGGGTGCTGGGCAGCCAGCCAGCCCATCCTTCAGTGCTCCACATCCCAGGACTGCCCCCTCCTCCAGGAACATGGGTGATTTCTCAAGTGGCCTAGGCTGCCTGCTTTTTGGTTTCACCATGGCTCATTTTTTTTTTTTTTTTTTTGAGACAGAGTCTTGCTTTGTTGCCCAGGCTAGAGTGAGTGCCGTGGCGTCAGCCTAGCTCACAGCAACCTCAATCTCCTGGGCTCAAGTGATCCTACTGCCTCAGCCTCCCGAGTAGCTGGGAGTACAGGCATGTGCCACCATGATGCCCGGCTAATTTTTTCTATATATATTTTAGTTGGCCAATTAATTTATTTCTATTTATAGTAGAGATGGGGTCACACTCTTGCTCAGGCTGGTTTCGAACTCCTGACCTCGAGTAATCCGCCCGCCTCAGCCTCCCAGAGTGCTAGGATTACAGGCGTCAGCCACTGTGCCCGGCCCAGAAAGGTTCCTTTAGAAACTTTTTTTTTTTTAAACAGAGTCTCTGCTCTGTTGCCTGGGCTAGAGTGCGGTGGTGTCAGCCTAGCTCAGAGCAACCTCCAACTCCTGGGCTCAAGCAATCCTCCTGCCTCAGCCTCCTGAGTAGCTGGGACTACAGGCGTGCACCACCATGCCTAGCTAATTGTTTTTATTTTTAGTAGAGACTGGATCTTGCTCTTGCTCAGGCTGGAGTGAGATGTCAACCAATCCTCCCATCTCAGCCTCCCAGATTGGTAGGATTACAGACGTGAGCCACTGTGTCCAGCATAGAAACTTCTAAGCTGGCGCCGAGGAGTCCAGGCCTCCTTAGCTGAGACCTGGCAGTCCTCTGCATCGCCTTGCTCCCTGCCCGCCTCTGCTTCCCAGAGCTGCCTGGTCCAGGCCTCAGCAGGACTCCCACTCACTCCCTATAGTCCTGGACTAGCTTTTTATCACCCTTGACTCAGGTGTAGACAGACAATCCTGGAAAATGGGAGAGCCCTCACTGGTACCAACAGACCTGCCCCGAGGAATCGCCATGGCAACCTGGGAGTGGGGCAAGGGCTGGGTCTGGGCTGGAACCCCCAGAGAGGCCTGGAGCTCGTGCCTTGCTGCTGTCTGTGCCTTTGCCGACTTCTCTCACTTGGGAGGCTCGACCCTCATCTGTGCGTTTGCATCTTATGGGAAATCAGAGAAGCCACTTGCTGGCCCCTACAGCCCCTGTGCTGACAAATCACAGTAGACACGACTGCCCCCGAGCGGTCAGATTGAGCCCCTCACGAGCTAGCCGAGAGCCATCACCCTGGGTCAGAGTTCTGACAGTTGGCACAAAGCAAGGCATCAGGGAACGAAGAAAATACATTTCTTCTGGAGAATGGAGTTTACATTTCATCTAGACTTTGGGCAGCCGGGCCAGGAATAAGCCCAAAGGATACCATGATGTTGAAGGTTGACACCCTGTGTGTTTATCCGTTTACCCACTCACCTGGGTACCAAACAGCTCCTGAGCCTGTCCCCTGCGCAGGGCACCGGCTGGCAATGTGGGGATATGATAGCCAACACCTCTTTTCTTTGCACTGAGCACCTTGAGGCGAGGCTTCACGGTTACCTGTAGCAGGAGGTGGGGTGAACTGTGTGTAGCAGCACCCGGCGTGTAGTATAACACGTGGTGTCTGCCACTGTGTCTGACCGTCGGCGCGGTCAGGCTAGGTGCATCTCAGGGGAGGACGTCTGCCTTAAGGGCACAGACCCTATTTCTTTTCACTTCCAGCCAGTTCACAGGTAAGAACATTTAGTCCCAGGGAACTATGTTGTCTCTCTACTTCCCATGACTGAAATGCGGCACTCATTAGCATGAGGTACGAGAGGCACAATTCTTCCTCTTTTAAAAAAGTTTAATGGCTGGCCGGGTGCGGTGGCTCACGCCTGTAATCCTAGCACTCTGGGAGGCCAAGGAGGGAGCATTGCTCGAGGTCAGAAGTTCGAAACCAGCCTGAGCAAGAGTGAGACCCCATCTCTACTAAAAATAGAAAGAAATTAATTAGACAACTAATATATATAGAAAAAATTAGCCGGGCATGGTGGCTCATGCCTATAGTCCCAGCTACTCGGGAGGCAGAGGCAGGAGGATCGCTTGAGCCCAGGAGTTTGAGGTTGCTGTGAGCTAGGCTGATACCATGGTACTTACTCTAGCCTGGGCAACAAAGTGAAACTGTCTCAAAAAAATAAATAAGTAAATAAGTTTAATGGCTTTATTAATACATAAATTGCATAAAACCTGCATATATCTAAAGTGTGCAGTTTGAAAAGCTTGGCAGGTACATCTATACACCTGTGAAGCCATCGCCACCCGAAAGGCACATTTCTCATCGGAACGAAGCGCGAGTCTAGGCCCTTCGCCAGCGTCATTTCCAGGCACCGTTCAGGTTGGACCTGCTTTCGCAGCTCGCCCAGAGGGGAGGTGGTGACTCTAGACCTGTGACCTGAGCACATTCACGGTTAACATTGACAGCTGTTGTCAGCAGCCAGCACAGCCCGTCCGGGGTGCCTGGAGGCGTCAATAAGCTGCAGCCACTTCGGTCTCAGCTGGGGAGCCCGGAGCTCAGTGTGGAAACACCCTACTCTCAGGCCACTGTGCCCTGGTTCCTCTGTGGACACTTCAGGCGGGGGGGGGGGCCGGGGGACTTAGCCTGGTCTCGGGGGCTTCTCCTCCCATCCCTGCTAAGGGGGCCTCAGGCCGTGCCCTGGAGCTGTGCTGTCCACCTGTTGGCTGGCAGGTGGGTGGATGGACTGCTGGGTGGGACCTCATGCGTGCCTGCCCTGGGTTCATGTTTGAGACCTGCCATGTTTCCTGCCCCTACTGTGCTCACAGCCCCCCTGAGGCTGGTGGAATAGAAGTGTTAGCACACGTTCGCTTGTGGAGGGCCAGCGCCAGGCCTGAGCGTTGTCCAGGACTGTGGGGGGGCGGCACCGCTAACCCAAGGGGTCACACACTTGCCTAGACTAAGGACAGGCTGGGCCCAGCTGGGAGGTGGGGCAGAGGAACCCCAAGAGACACTCTGGCACCTGTCCCAAGGTGAGCACTGCAGTCACCCTGTCCCTGCACCCCCAGAACTCACTGTGGATGCCACGTGGCTCTCCAGCTCGGCCCGCCCTGCCGGTCCCCAGTCCTCGTGATAGACCTGAAAAGAAACGGCTGGTGACCCTTTGTTCATTTTTTTTCTCCTTTTTTGCTACAAAAGTAATCCATGCCAGCTGGAAAGTAGATCCCATCATGCTCAAGAGTGGCCATAGCTATGATCTGGCACCTGATGCTCAGCCTAACGGCAGAGGCCTGCACCCCATCCTTGATACCCTCAGCTTTGTCCCCCCGCCTCTGCCACTCCCAGCTTTAACAGCCATATGTGGGTGGGGTGAGTCTGCCCCAGGAGCACCCACCCACCGCCCAGAGAGAGGGAGTCTGGGTGTCGACACTGGGGGCCGTGGCGGCCCGAGCGCTCAGTCTGTGGTCTCTGACCCTCCTGGTCCTGCCCGTCTGGGCTTCCTCTGCGCAGGGTGGAGGTTGCCAGCCCACTGTCAGCCCCTCCAGGTGCGTGCTTGTTCCAAGTGGAGAGCCAGTGGCATGCCTGACTTCAGGGGCTCTTTTTTTTTTTTTTTTTTTTGAGACAGAGTCTCACTCTGTTGCCCAGCTACAGTGCCGTGGCGTCAGCCTAGCTCACAGCAACTTCAAACTCCTGGGCTCAAGCAATCCTCCTGCCTCAGCCTCCCGAGTAGCTGGGACTACAGGCATGTGCCACTATGCCCAGCTAATTTTTTCTATATATTTTAGTTGGCCAATTAGTTTTCTTTTTATTTTTAGTAGAGACGGAGTCTCGCTCTTGCTCAGGCTGGTTTTGAACTCCTGACCTTGAGCGATCAGCCTGCCTCGGCCTCCCACAGTGCTAGGATTATAGGCATGAGCCACCGCGCCCAGCCTTGCGGAGGCTCTTTGTGTACAGCCCGAGGGCTGCCCTGTGTCCCAACCCCTCCAAGAGGTGCCCAGGGGCTGAGTGCGCACCCTTGCCAGCAGGGCAGGGAAGCAGACTTGCTTTTCCCCATGTCTCTGGCCATGAAGAGCTGCTTTGTTCCAGGGAGCTGCACGCTCTCCCTGCCTCTGTTCATGAGTGGGGCGCTGACAGGCTCCGTGCAGGGCAGGCTGGCAGCCTGGCGCCACGGGTCTGCGTTCCCAGGAGGGTGGCTGTTCATGTGAGAAGCCTGCAGAGGTTGTTACTTAGTGCCGTCTCTCTGTTCTGGGAAACATTTTTCTGGGAACCACCAAGTTTCTTGTTTTGGTTTTTTCCTCCCTTTGGCTCCTTCTGAGGCTGGGGCAGCCTCATGTCTGAGTGTCCGGCTACTTCCCTTACGGACCGCTTTTCCTGTCCATAATAACTGTCGAGTGCTGGAAACCCAAGCAACGCAGCCCATTCCCTGCTCCTGTCCCTGTTTTACAAATGGAGAAATTAAGGCACAGTATTGGTGGAAAGTACTTGTCTGAAGTTGGACAACCATTTAGAGTAGAAGCTAAAACCTAGTTTCCTACATCCCAGCTTTCAGCTATAACTGGGCCTGGTATTTTTTTTTTTTTTGAGACAGTTTCACTCTGTTGCCCGGGCTAGAGCGCTGTGGCATCAGCCTAGTTCCCAGCAACCTCAAACTCCTGGGCTCAAGCGATCCTTCTGCCTCAGCCTCCCGAGTAGCTGGGACTACAGGCATGCGCCACCATGCCTGGCTAATTTTTCTATATATTTTTAGTTGTCCAGCTAATTTATTTTTATTTTTAGTAGAGATAGGATCTCACTCTTGCTCAGGTTGGTCTTGAACTTCTGACCTCGAGTGATTAGCCCGCCTCGGCCTCCCAGAGTGCTGGGATTACAGGCGTGAACCACTGCGCCCGGTCTGGGTTTTACATTATTGGCGTGCAGCATCAGAGATTCCAGCTCTGTCACAAGAAGGATCCAGGGCTTATTGGCCTCGAGTGGGAGCCTGAGCAGAGCTGAAGGAACAGGTCCAGGAGGTGCAGTCTGGGCCCTCTGGCCTCCGTCCCTTGCTGGATGCCTGGACGCCCAGGGCCCTGCTCTGGAACACTCCTGTGCTGCTCTTGCCAGCGGCCTGGACCCCACTGAGCAAGGGCACCTGCCTCTTCCACAGCCCTGGGCTCCGCTCAGGGTCTTAGGAGCAAGCACCAGAGGTCCTGCCTTCTCCTGGGTTGGCACATGGGCAGCGCACTCGCCCCTGCCGTCTCCCCTCCTCACGATGGAAGCAAGACAGTGAGGCCCATGGAGCCATGGAGACAGGGTGGGGAGGCAGCCTGCTCTCTGCCTACCGCCCCGGTGAGCGTGGTCTGGCTGAGTGAGCTCGCACACGGAGACCAGGCGGGGAAGCAGGATGCTCTGGTTTCGTTTTCTAAGAAGCCTTACATTTAAAACCTTTTTAGAAGAAGCGAGTGACACCCCCCTTTGCTCCTCTTGCAGTGGAACCTGGTGTGTGAGGACGACTGGAAGGCCCCCCTCACGATCTCCATGTTTTTCGTGGGGGTGCTGGTGGGCTCCTTCGTGTCGGGGCAGCTCTCGGACAGGTAAGGCGCCTGCCTCCCGCTGCTTTGACCCATTTCTCGTAAGCAGGTTCTTGTGCAATTCCGAAGTTTTTGACTCAAGGACCACCAATGGCTTCAGGAATCCCAGAACCTTTGTGATCATACACAAAATGTTAGAGATGCTCCGTGAGCATTTTTCTGCAGAAAGGTCTGTGGCTTTCATGGAGTTCTCAGGAAGGGTCGTTATATTGCATCTCCCGACTCTGGAGCGTCTGGGTCTGTCGGGAAAGCCTGAGACGGGAAGAACAGGCCTCAGCAAGGCTGTGGCCAACTGGCACGTGTGACGCAGCCACCGAGTCACAGGGCCACTCCGCGGGGAGGAGTCCCGGCATCCTCCGGCTGACTGAAGTCTCTCGTCTAGAAGTTCAGGATGAGGACGCCGTCCTGCCTTTGGAGCGAAGCCATTCTATCCTACTGCTCAGCTCAGGGATTCGACATGTTTGGGTCTGCGGGTTATTGTCTGTTTCCGAGAAGGCTTTCCTTGTGAAAAAGTTAAATATGTACGTTTCTCACTAGAGTTGTCTTTTCCAGAGTGTCATGTAGTGGTTTTTTTTAAAAAGAAAAAAAGTCCTACGGTCATCAGTGAGCATTAAAGAGTCCGTTAGATGATGACCACAGATCGATGACTCTGGCTGAGCCTGAGACACCTGCCTCTTTGGAGGAAAAGCCTTTGCTTCCCCTGATCTTTAACCTTGTAACAGCATGGGATTTATTTAGTTAGGTAGGTATGTAGGTAGGTAGGTAGGTAGGTAGTGAGTTACTGTGTTGCTGTGCTAGAGTGCTGTGGCGTCAGCCTAGCTCACAGCAACCTCAAATTCCTGGGCTCAAGCAATCCTCCTGCTTCAGCCTCCCGAGTAGCTAGGACTACGGGCATGCACCACCATGCCCAGCTAATATTTTATGTATACTTTTAGTTGGCCAATTAATTATTTTCTATTTTTAGTAGAGACGAGGTCTTACCCTGGCTCAGGCTGGTCTCAAACTCCTGACCTTGAGCGTTCCACCCTCCTCGGCCTCTGAGAGTGCTAGGATTACAGGTGTGAGCCACCGCGCCTGGCCTAATTTATATTTATTTAACAAATGCATAGCATCTAATATACACCAGATGCTGTTATAAATACGGTATAGATTTAAAAAAAAAACCAAATAGTTTGATTCTCATAACCCTGTGAAGTAGGATCAGGAGAGTGAAACAGATGGGGTTAGATAACTTGCCCAAGTGACTTCCCCAGGGCAACTCAGCTGGCAGGTGGCAGTGTCAGGATTTGGACCTGGTTAGTTTTGTTCCTCTGCTTTGCACGGACTCCTGTTCCAGGTCCTTGCTCTCCTGGAACGTGCTTTCTATTTCTAGCAAGGCAGAGTGTATGGGTCAGCTAACTGCGGAGGTGGTTGTCATCCTTGGTCTTGTTAAGTGACGCAGAGAGGCGCAGGGCGTGGAGGAGGGAGCGTCTCACAGGGGAGGTCAGGGGAGACGCCCCGAGAAGGTGAAGCGTAGGCCGAGAGTTGAAATATGAGTAGAAATCAGCAAGCTAAAGGGGTGGACAGAGGAAAGAGCGTCCCTGGCAGGGAGAACAGCATGTACCGAAGCTCAGACTCAAGGAGAGGCACGGGACAGAGAAGGTCCATTGTGGCAGAGATGCAGAGAACGGAGAGCGCTGTGGAGTGAGTCAGGCAGAGGCAGGAGCAGAGGGCAGGCAGGGCTTTCATGGTTCACTGTTAGGAGGCTGCACTTCAGCCAGGAGCCATGGGGAGCTATTGACAGCTTTTTATTATTATTATTATTTTTGAGACAGAGTCTCACTCTGTTACCTGGGCTAGAGTGCCGTGGCATTAGCCTAGCTCACAGCAACCTCAAACTCCTGGGTTCAAGTGATCCTCCTGCCTCAGCCTCCCGAGTAGCTGGGACTACAGGCATGTGCCACCATGCCCGGCTAATTTTTTCTATATATTTTTACTTGTCCAGCTAATTTCTTTTTTCTTTTTTTTTTTTGTTCAGTAGAGATGGGGCCTTGCTCTTGCTCAGGCTACTCTCGAACTCCTGACTTTGAGCGATCCGCCAGCCTCGGCCTCCCAGAGTGCTAGGATTACAGGTGTGAGCCACCATGCCCGGCCAGCAGTCACTTTTTGTATAGGGCTAAGGTTTAGCCTTCTTCATGGCATATTAATAAGTCTAAATTCAAGAGCAACCAAAATAAGCCTTGGTTGTCAAAGCCTCCTGTCTGACATGATCGAGTTGTATTTATGGGTGTGAGTTACGAGAGCAGCGCAGCTCTGAGAACCAGGTTGATGTTTCCCGTTTCTGTAGGGGTGTGTGTGTTTGCCACTTGGTTGACAGACTTTAACAGTGAGCATGTCCGGCCCCGACTCCAGATTGCCGAGGACTGGGGCCAGGTGAGGGTCCCCAGATCTTTCTCTGCCGCCACCCCAGGGAGCCTGGGGAAGGGAAAGGGTGGAGGTTCCCCCTGCCTGCGCTGTGGTCAGGGCTCACCCTTGGGCGCCAGGCAGAGCTCTTGTTGGAGAACTTGCAGGGTAATTGGCCTTTCCTTCTAGGCCAGGGTTTCTCAGTGTTCACTCTACTAATATCTTGAGCCAAATAATTCTTTGTTGTAGGGGGTTATTTCAGGCGATTTAGAATATCTAATAACATCACTAGCCTCTGTTCACTTGGTGCCAGTAGCATCTCCTGCCCAAGTTGTGACAACCAAAAAAAAAAAACCAAACTGTTGTGTTGGGGAAAAAAACTCCAAACTCTCTCTTACGTAGCTGTCAGGCTCCTGCCCTCCTCCCTCAGTCTCTTGCCGCACAGCCGACTTGGCTGGCGCCATCAAGCTCCTGTCCCTCACGCCCCTCCAGCCACGCTGGGAGGCTCTTCTCAGAGTCTGAGGCAGTCCCCACCCCACCCCGTGCCCCTCCTTGACCACACGGGTCACTCAGAGTCCCTGGTGTACGCGACCCTGGTTCCTGTGACTTTCCTTCATAGCACCGGCCAGAAATTGGCAAAGAAAAGGTGTCAGCACAGGACTGAAGTTGGTCTCAGCCACTAAGTGTCACTGGAAGCTTGGTCCCTGTGCTTTTCATCCTTCATTGTCAACAACGATTTTTCCCCATCTCAGTGTCCTGTTGGTGACCTGTGACCTTCCCTGAATGCTCAGTTCCCCACCCTCACCCCCAGTCAGGAAAGCTGCCTTTGTGGTGTCCCTCGTGCACCTGGAGCTGTCCCTGCATGTACCCGCCTCAGCGTGCGGCTGTGTGCTCAGCAGCGTGCTTGTGTGATTGAAATGTGATTCCAGGGCTGGGCGCGGTGCCTCATGCCTGTAATCCTAGCACTCTGGAGGCCAAGGTAGGAGGATCATTTGAGTTCAGGAGTTCAAGACCAGCCTGAGCAAGAGTGAGACACTGTGTCTACTAAAAAAAATAGAAATTAATGGGATGACTTAAAAAAATATATAGAAAAAATTAGGCGGGCATGGTGGCGCATGCCTGTAGTCCTAGCTACTCGGGAGGCTGAGGCAGAAGCCTAGCTTAAGTCCAAGAGGTGGAGGTTGCTGAGAGCTAGGCTGACGCCATGGGCACTCTAACCCAGGCAACAGAGTGAGACTCAATCTCAAAAAAAAAAAAAAAATGTGATTCAAGCCAGGCACGGTAGCTCCCACCTGTAATCCCTGCACTTTGGGAGGATAGCTTGAGGCCTGGAGGTCAAGACCACCCAGGGCAACATAGCGAGACTCTATCTATACAAAATATTTTAAAAATTAGTGAGGCTTGGTGGCGGGTGCCTGTAGTCACAGCTCCTGGGGAGGCTGAGGCAGGAGGATCATGTTAGCCCAGGAGTTGGAGGTTGCAGTGAGCTTCTGATTGTACCACTGCACTCCAGCTTGGGCAACAGAATGGGACCCTGTTCAATAAAAACTGTTTTTTAATTAAAAAAATAAATAAATAAAATGTGATTTATGTCTGCCTTACAAACTGTATGGTAAACTATTTGAGGGCAGAGATGGCATCTTCATTTAGAGATCTTTCCAGTGTTTGCTATAATAGATGCTCAATAAACATTCATTGAGCAGAGGTTGTGTCTGCCAGGCTTGGCCAAATTCAAGCTGAGTATATTGCTTCCCACTAGATTGACTTCTTCCTCCTGCTTGTGGCATTCTCTTTTTCTTTTTTTGAGACAGAGTCTCACTTTGTTGCCCAGGCTAGAGTGAGTGCCGTGGTGTCAGCCTAGCTCACAGCAACTTCAAACTCCTGGGCTCAAGCAATCCAATCCTGCTGTCTCAGCCTCCCGAGTAGCTGGAACTACAGGCATGCGCCACCATGCCCGGCTAATTTTTTCTATATATATTAGTTGGCCAATTAATTTATTTCTATTTATAGTAGAGACGGGGTCTCACTCTTGCTCAGGCTGGTTTCGAATTCCTGACCTCAAGTAATCCGCCCACCTCGGCCTCCCAGAGTGCTAGGATTACAGGCGTGAGCCACTGCGTAACGGCCTAGGCTGACTCTTAAAATAATCACTTCCATGTGAGTTTGTGCATCCTTGGCACAAGTTTAATCTCGACCACTTAAAATATCTTTTAGTTCACTTTATAGATTCTCCTTCTATCCCTTTTTCTGCCTTACAGTTTATCCACTGAAGAGCCCGGGCCATGCCTTGGCCTCCCAGAGTGCTGGGTTTACAGGCGTGAGCCACCATACCCGACCCGATTCTTTTTTAAAAAATATCATTATAAATGTCTAGATTTAAGCATAATTTATGTGTTTCGATCATGATCATCATTGTGACACTGCTCTTTGGTGACCTGGGTGCCAGACCACACATCTGTCTTGGGGAGTGGGGACAGGGAGAGCAAGACTGGCACCAGGTACCCTGGTGGCACGTGCACGCCTCTCCCTAGATGGATCTGGGGGTGCCCGTCTGGGCGGAGCCCATTCCTACCACCTGTTTCCACCTGATTCTCCATCGCTCTCCGTCCTTCCCAGGTTCGGCCGGAAGAAAGTGCTGTTTGCCACCATGGGCATGCAGACGGGCTTCAGCTTCCTGCAGGTCTTCTCCAAGAACTTCGAGATGTTCATCGTGCTGTTTGTCCTTGTGGGCATGGGCCAGATCTCCAACTACGTGGCGGCATTTGTCCTGGGTATGGCCACCAGGTTGGAGCTGAGTACTTAACCCTGTGTCTCACCGTCCTCCCACCACCTCCTTTCTGGAGACCTCTGTGATGTCCCTCGAGGGAAAGTGGTCTCTAGCAAAGCCAGCTGCAGCGTCCTGGCGAACGCTGTGTATAGGCCGGGACACTGAGCACACAGCTGGCCAGCCTTAGGTCCCCAGCAGTGTGGCGGTCTGCCTTCCGACTTCCAGGGCCTTTCTGGCCTCCAAGGTGTGGCACTTTTTAGGACTCGATGGACATTTTACTGAGACTCCCCAGAGATCATCCGCTTGAAAAAGGGCCTGGCACTGTCCAGGACCGGAATAGTCGGGGAAGGCGGGAGGCGCGGTGCGAGAGGGGCCGTGGCTGGCCGGCTTGCTGTGGAAGAGGCCGCCTGTCTGCAGCGCCTTTGCTGATGGATCTGCAGAGCAGAGTCGGTATTCAGAGCACACACTGCTGAGGGCCGCTGCAGGGCTTTGGCTCAGACCTTAGCTGGCCTTGTGTCACTGAAAAGTGGCCAGTGTCACTGTGTGGAGGAGTCTGACTCTCGATAGTAAGGTCTTTGGGTTCCTTGGGTTGCATTGTTGAAAGGATTGTTTTTTAATTTTCACACTTAATAGCATGTTTCCTCCTTGAAGGGTATGAGTCAGTACAGGTGGCATTAGTACTGATTTCACCTTCAATGAATTCTTCTTCATATGAGGATCAAAGGGGCCTTGTATGGCATCCTGAGCACATGGCTTAGGGAAGCGGTGACATTGTCACGGGAGAACTGTTGCCACGGCGCCCCCAGGAGTCGGTCATACTAGACGGAGTTCAGAATCCCGTCCCCTCCCCCGGGGTTGGGAACTTAGAGATAAATCTGGTTGTTTTTTTGTCTGTGTGTCAAAAGCGATAACCATAGAAGATTAATAAGGAAATAACCCAAATTAAAATGCTCACTGACTCCTCCCTTGTTTTGAACAGGAACGGAGATTCTTGGCAAGTCGGTCCGCATCATATTCTCCACGCTAGGGGTGTGCATATTCTATGCGTTTGGCTACATGGTGCTGCCGCTGTTTGCTTACTTCATCCGGGACTGGCGGATGCTGCTGCTGGCGCTGACGGTGCCGGGGGTGCTGTGCGTGGCGCTGTGGTGGTGAGTGTGGCCCGCGCCTGGCGGGGCGTCCGCAGGGTGACGTCTGTCTGGCCCTCGCTAGGGGGCAGCAGCAACCCACAGATCCTGGCTCCTGGAGACGGGAAGGGTGGATTATTTATCAGCGGTTTCAGAATGTTTTCTCCACACTCAAAAGAACCAAAACAAAACAGAGTCCCAAGACATCAACAGACGTGTTCTCAGCCCTGTGCCACGTTGGTCTAAGTACAGGGACAAGAGAAAGTAGCTGTGAGAGGATGGGGTCCAGCGTGACCTCTGGGAGGTTCCCAAACCGCAGGGCAAGACCGCCCAGGCCCCGGCTCTGGCTGTGCGTGGCTGAGGCTCGTGCCACAGGTGCTGGGGAACGGGGGTCGCCAAGGCGAGATTCCGCAGGGGGCTGCGTGGTGGAGGCCGGGCCCCACCTGTGCCTCCAAGACAGGAGCCGGACGAGCGGAGCAGAGGCCGTTGCACAGCTAGCGGGAACACAGCACAGGAGCCGGGGTGGAATCACCCCTTGCAGGTGGGGAAGGTGAGACCACCAGCTCCGCAGGGAGCATTCAGGGGACAGTGGAGAGGAAGCAGCACGTCACGACCAAGTGGGAGGCTGCCTGGTCACAGCGAGATAGAAAATACCTGCACAGACTCAGAGCACTCGGGCGAGAGTCTGGCAAATCTGTCAGATGACTCGGGGGTGGGGTGAGGAGAACACAGAGCCTCAGAGGCCAGTGCAGAAGCTCCTGTGGGTGTCAGGGACGGGGCGGGGACTGTGGTGGGGTCCAGGCTGGCCTGAGACATCCGCAGAAGCTGGGCTTTAGGAGCCTGCCTTGCCCTGACTCCCCAGAGCCGGGGGGAGGGGGGGGAGGGAGATACCACCACGCTTTGGGAATGGAGGTGGCCGGCCAGCGTGGGGACCCCATCAGGGTGCACAGGGCCCTCCAGATTTCGTGCCCTGCCGTGTACGGAAGAGCTCACACTTGAGGTTGTCGCTGGGTGTGGACCGTCTCTCTGCCTCGGGCCTGTGAGCACCAGACATTCCACAGACCCAGCTCTGGTTCTGAACCTCGTTCCCCGTGTACAGCTGTGCCGTGTGTGCCCACGTCCAGTTGTGCCTTCTCTCGTGTGTTGTTGAGCAGGACAAACCATCAGAACCTGCCACTGCACACGTCGACCCAAGGCAGTCCAGGTGGCTGGCTTCTCCAGTTTACAAAGAGGACGTCATGAACATTCCTAAGTGCTTAAAATCTCGTTCCAGATCACACTTTTCTTGTCTATCCATCAACACTGATGAAGTCAAGGAGTGCCTAACATGAGATCATTGTACACACTATGCTTCATTTTCTCTTCAATGGGAAATAGAAGTGGGCTACATGATGTGACATATGGAGCAGCTGCAGCTGCCTGAGGACCAAGAAACAATATGCCTAAGCTGTAGCTGTTTTCTGAGGATTTCAGAGTTCTTACTGATACCATGTGTTTTTAAATGTTTTTATTAATCTGTAATTTTAATAAAGTAGACACTTCCCTTATGAGTCATTTTGAGAATTTTTAATTATATTAGAATCACATTCAATAAATACTTTTTCTTCAGCTAAAAAAAAAAATGTCTGTGCTCTGCTGCTCAGCCGTGGGCGGGGGCCTCACCGAGATGCTCCTGTGCTTCCAGGTTCATCCCCGAGTCCCCGAGGTGGCTCATCTCTCAGGGGCGATTTGAAGAGGCTGAGGTGATCATCCGCAGGGCGGCCAAGATCAACGGGACCGCCGCCCCCTCCACCATCTTCGACCCGAGTGAGGTGAGCCCAGGTGGGAGCGGTGGGGGGGGCGTGTCGGCCATGATTTGAGGGCAGCCGTGCCCGGCCGCCCCCAGGGTGGGCCCGGGTAAAACCCAGAAGTTGGGGAATAGGTTACTACCGCCTCACGCTTTCCAGTTTTCCTGTGGGTTTTAGGTTTTCCTACTTTATTAACTTCCTTTCTAAACGATCATATGTTTTTACCATTATTTTTAATAATAAACACCTTTTATGAGCAATAGGCCTTTTACAAAGTCATCGTTTCTTGTGCCTAAGGTAGTTTGTCGTCTTACAAAGCTCGTCCAGCCTGTGAGACGTAGCACACGGATGGATTCGGAGGTGTTCGGTCTCTTCCCACCCTCCCATGGCCAGTTGTCACCTGTCCTGTCCGAGTCAGGTCCCGCTCACTGCTCCCCCATCCCATCCCGGCCTGCAAAGCCCGTGCTCGGGCACCAGGAGAAACTGCTTGGCTCTGCTTGGTTCCCGGCTCTGGCTTTTCCTTCCCGCCCCCTCTCCTCTGCCCTCCCTGCAGCAGGCGGTTTCCCTCTGTCACAGGATGGTGAGGAGAGATCCGAGCTGTAAGAGCCGCTGCATGGTTCGGGGCGTCTCTCTCATCTGACGGGAAAACGAGGCACACTGGCTGTGGAGCAGCCACCACAGTCACTTAGGAACACTTGGGGTTCGGGGAAGAGGCCGGCGGCCACGGACAGCCCCACTGGCTTCCCAGGGAGGGGTCGCTCGGCCGCACTGGCCAGGGCCCTGCTGCACAAGGGTCAGGGCAGGCGTGCGGGGAGGCTGTCCAACCAGGGTCAGTCTGGGTGACCCACGAGCCCCACAGGATCTGGGAGGAACCGAGGCTGTTTCAGGGGATGCTTTAAGCCGAGAGTTGACCTTGTGCTGAACTGCTAACTCAGGAACAACAAGCCCCAAAGCTGGGTTCGCTTAAGAAAGCAACCTCGGTGTGTTTAGACGTGTGGTTTATTAACTGCCTTGGCCCTGCCAGATTTCATAGGAAGTCACTCTGGGTGAAACTCAGGTCAATTTTCCTGTTTTTCTATTTCAATATTTTCCCCTGGAAGCGGACCAATAACTACTTGGTATAAGGACTCAAAACATTAATTTAAAAAAATATATCAGATCAGTAAAGTCCACAGCCAGTTTCTCTCTCTGACCCAGAGGGCGGGGAGCCAGGCTTGGGAAGGAAAGCTCAGGCCTCCCTGGAATGTGGCCGCTGGCGGGAGGATGAAGCTGAGTGGTGTGGAGCTGTTGGCTTGGCCTCCACTTTGCTGCACCCAAAGTAGGGCCTGGGCGCCAGCTTTTCCCTCTCGTTCTCGTTCACTGTTACGGACAGGGCCTGGGGGAGCTGTCAGCAGCCCAAATGCAGTCACCGCACTTACTGGTCTTTTCAAGGAAGAAATGCAACACTCCCAGCTCTGAGATGCAGACAGCTGGGACGCAGGGTTTCAAGCACGTTGTTTGTCATGTGCTCCGAGTCTCTGACCCTCTCTCCTTCCCGCACCCTTATTGTATCGTCCCCGCAGCTACAAGACCTGAGTTCTAAGAAGCAGCCGACGCACAGCATCCTGGATCTGCTCCGAACCCGGAACATCCGCATCGTCACCATCATGTCCATCATCCTGTGGTGCGTAAGTGCCGCCTGCCTAAGGCTTCCAGACGAGCCTCTGCAAGTGGCCGCTGGGCCTCTTGTGCTGCCTGAGGCTTCCAGATGAGCCTCTGCAAGTGGCCGCTGGGCCTCTCGTGTATAGACACACCTCAGACCGAAACTGAAAGGGTCATGCCTTGTGATGTATGGAAGAAATGGACATGTCACAGTTCTTTTTTTTTCTCCTGAGACACTCTTGCTCTGTTGTCCAGACTAGAGTGCTGTGGTGTCAACCTCGCTCACAGCAACCTCAGACTCCTAGGCTCAAGCAATCCTGCTGCCTCAGCCTCCCGAGTAGCTGGGATTACAGGCATGCGCCACCATGCCCGGCTACTTTTTTCTATATATTTTTAGCTGTCCAATTAATTTCTTTCTATTTTTAGTAGAGATGGGGTCTCACTCTTGCCCAGGCTGGTCTTAAACTCCTGACCTTGAGTGATCCTCCTGCCTCGGCCTCCCAGAGTACTAGGATTACAGGTGTGAGCCACCATGCCCGGCCTGTCATAATTCTTAATGTGATGCAACCTCAGAAAAGAAAAATGAAAACTATTGTGGAGGCTATTTGGGAAAATATGGGATCTCTGGGGGTCTCTCCAGGTCCTAAGGTGGATCCTATTCCCTGGGGCCTTGATTAGTTGTTCCTGTCCCTTACCCCCTCCTGCCCCGTCACAGATAGTGGCTAAGGAGGACAGGTAGAACTTCTAAGAAGGATCTGAGTGCAGACACCATGTCTGTTAGGCTACCGAGGCTTCTAAGTGCTTTCTGGTAGCATGGAAGCAGGACATGCTCCTTCTGGGACGTTCAGAGTCAGGGCACAGCCTAGACGTTTCGCCAGGGTCCTTCTAACTGGGCATCTCACAGGGTGTCAGGAAGGGATTTGTGAGTCACCAGACAGGGAACACATTGAGTGCCCGGATAGCTTCTGCTCAGTGGCCAGACCCTGGGGATTGCAGGTGACTCCCCGAGCCTGCTGGGTGGGTGGTGGCAGGTGGGTGAGGAGGGCAGTCTCATCTAGCGTCCAGCGGTGGGGCACTGGGCGTTTTGTGCGTTGCCCGTTTCCAAGGAGGGGCTCAGGATCCCTCAGGGCAGTGCTCCCCGAGTCTGCCCAAGCCAGGGCCGCACACAGCGTGCACCTGCTGTGGCTCACCCAGACTCTTCCCCGGGCTCTGGGTTTCCCAGGGACTCCTGTACAGACTCTTTTTCTTTGTCATGCCAGCTGGGTTTTCAACCTGCTGCTGAGTTAGAAACATTCTAATCCATAGAGATCCAGTTTGCCAAAGAGTGTGGGTCATCAGTAGGGAGAAAGCTTGCTGGGGACAGGGCCCAGGCCAGGGACATTGCGGGCATGTGGACAGGAGACAGCCTGGCCCACTGCTGGGAGTCCCCTCTCTCCTCCTTGGGTGCGGGGGGCGGGGGGTTTGGTGTCAGCTGCCCCTGACCAGCCGCTGCCTGGCCGGGTGCCACTGACAGTCTTTAACTCAATGTTGTCCCTTATTTTGTCTCTTCCCTCCAACCCTGTCACACCTCACTTGGTATGTGCCTCCTTACTCATTCCCTAGCTCCTTCTGCAGTTGCTGGATTTGGGAGGTTCTGTAAATGCTTTGGCTTTGTGTTTTTAAAGCCAAAAGGCGGGTTGGAATTTCGTTCAACGAAGTCAGTCTGTGTGAATTATATAAGCTGTTCTGCTGTGACACTTCCTACGTGGAAGGCTCTGGCAGGACACCAGCACGGAGTTCTCGCTGCACCACGCGGGCGGGAGAAGTTGTCTTCTGTTCTGTGAAGTCAGGTGCAGAGTGGTTTGGAATTTACTGAAATAATTGCATTTTACAAGTTGCTTAGGTCGGGAAAGACGTGGATACTGTTCTTCCAGCTGCTTTCTTCTGCGTTCTGTTCCAGGATGACCATATCTGTGGGCTATTTTGGGCTTTCCCTTGACACTCCTAACTTGCACGGGGACATCTACGTGAACTGCTTCCTCTCGGCGGTGGTGGAGGTGCCGGCGTACGTGCTGGCCTGGCTGCTGCTGCGGCACCTGCCCCGGCGCTACTCCATGGCCACTGCGCTCTTCCTGGGCGGCAGCGTCCTCCTCTTTGTGCAGCTGGTGCCCCCAGGTAGGGGCCGCGTGCGTCTGTGGTCTGGGGTCTTCACTGAGCTGCTCGTGCTCTGCTGGGCTTCTCCCCCAGTTAATGGAGAGAATGAAATCAAGCCCCTCACGGCTCCTTGGCCTGTGTGCAGACTCGGCCTAAAAACCAAGATCGCCTCTTGGGATCAGAGCACCCCTGACGGCCTGGGCTTCGGGGGGTGGGAAACAGCAGCACTGGGGGCTGTGGGTTAATTGTACTCTTTCCCAAGTTACTGTGTTCATATTTATTTTCCACTCCAGAGTAAGGGGGAGGAGAGAGCCACCCCCATTGCTTTCTTTCCTGGCCCTGTCTTATTTATTTATTTATTTGAGACAGAGTCTGGCTTTGTTGCCCAGGCTAGAGTGCCATGGCATCAGCCTAGCACAGAGCAACCTCAAACTCCTGAGCTTAAGCAGTCCTCCTGCCTCAGCCTCCCAAGTAGCTGGAATTACAGGCATGCACCACCATGCCCAGCTAATTTTTTCTATATATATTTTTAGTTGTCCAGATAATTTGTTTCTGTTTTTAGTAGAGACAGGGTCTCGCTCTTGCTCAGGCTGGGCTCAAACACCTGACGTCAAGCAATCCTCCCGCTGCGGCCTCCCAGAGTGCTAGGATTACAGGTGTGAGCCACCGCGCCTAGCTTGTCTTATTTATTTATTTAGCAAGTAGCTATGGGTGCCTGCCATAGGCAAGGCTCTGTGCTTGGTGCTATGCAGTACGGAAGGAAACAAGTCGGCAGAACCCCAGGCCCTCATAGTTTACACCCTAGTCGAGAAGACCAACAACAAACAAGTAAATAAAATGCTTAAAATAGTGCAGACTGTGCTACCTTCTGTGAATAAAACCGAAGGGCAGCAGGGAGCTAGTTTACATAAAGTCGTCACAGACCATGTGCCTGAGCAGGGGCTGTTCAGTGGACACATATGTGGAGTGACAGAGAAAGCCATGGAAAAGTCTAGGAGGACATTTCAGGAAGAGGACACAGCAAAGGCAGTGACCCTGAGCAGGGAACGAGCCCGGCACATCTGAGCAGAAAGAGGAGCTGGATAAGAGACAGGGCCGCACAGGCAGGAGCAGGATTCTATTTCTGGAGCCGTCTTGGTGTCCTTCAGATGGGTGGGAGGAGGCCACGTCTGACAATTTACAGAGCTGGGCCCTCCTCTGGCCCTGTGCCCAGAGTCCTCAGTGTCCCCATGGATTGGGGGCCTCTGGTGGGCTCTTTCAGGCTGGGCACATTGCACAGGGACAGTCCCCAGGGGTGTGTGGCAGAACAAGCTAGAAATGATGTAGCCAGGTCACAGTGGGCTCAGAGACCCTCGGCCACTCACAGTGTCTCTCGTCAGCACAGGGAGAAGGATAGATGGGAGGATCATCCCGATGATGCTCTGTGAGTTTTTGAATAGTACGAAAAACATGAAATGAGTTAGAACTGGATTCTCCAATCTTGTGAAATCCATTAATGAATTCCGCTGTGCCTGCGGCATGAGGTTCTGGGTGACAGCTGACTCCTGGCAGACAGGTCTTGAATGACTTCCGGCCTGGAAAGCAGGGCGGGAGACTGAGGAGCTCGCTCCAGTGGTCTCTAGGCTGAGAAAATGCATGTCCTCACGAGCTGTGGTCCCCGCCTCCACCCAGGCATCAGCGTGGAGGGGAGTCTTGGCTGCAGTCCTTCATCCCACAGTAGGAAGTTACAGACACTAACCCACCCCAAAAAAAGACTGGGGGAGAAAGTACATTTGTTCAGGCAAACAAGAAGTGGAACTCTGAACAGTGGTGTGCTGTGGGTTGGCGCCTGCTCCCGCCTTCTTTCCTTTGCTCTGCAGACCTGTACTATTTGGCTACGGTCCTGGTGATGGTGGGCAAGTTTGGGGTCACCGCTGCCTTCTCCATGGTCTACGTGTACACGGCTGAGCTGTACCCCACCGTGGTCAGGAACATGGGCGTGGGCGTCAGCTCCACGGCCTCCCGCCTGGGCAGCATCCTGTCTCCCTACTTCGTCTACCTCGGTGAGTGGTGCGGGCAGGTGGGCTGGGAGCTTTAATGTGAGTGGAGATCGCTTGTTGGCAAGAAAGCAAGCGCCTACAGCAAACGTGCTGGCCTGTGGCCGGGGAGGGCTCTTCCCGAGTGGGCTGCCAGGGAGACGTTCACTTTCAAACGGAAAAACCGCCGATAGACTCGCTAGAAAGTGATGAGAAAATTAGAAGGTTTTGTTGCTGTTTCAGCCATCCCAGGCCTTCCACCAGAGACTAGATTCCTTTACCCTCTGAAACTACACAGTAGCTCAGCGAGCCAGTGGAGAAATTTCTTGGAATCTGCGTTAAGAAGGAACAGGAGGGGGAAGGTGTCTGCTTGAGAGGAATGATGGATTGGGAATCATTCTCACCAGGGCACTATGCAGCGGTTTTATGTTGTGTGAAGATCTGCCTTTTACGTAGCAGGGCCCCAGTCTTTCCTTCTCAAAAGCGTATCCTCACGGCACTGCCATCCCCTGCACGTCCCCAGGTAGGTAGGTGGCACCTGCCCTGAGTGCCCAGAGAGCTCTGTGGACATGCCAAATAGATCTGACAAGCAGAGACAGCCTGTCTAGGCTGGGCTTGGTAGCTCACGCCTGTAATCCTAGCACTCTGGGAGGCTGAGGCAGGCAGATCGCTCAAGATCAGGAGTTCGAAACCAGCCTGAGCAAGAGTGAGACCCTGTCTCTACTAAAAATAGAAAGAAATTAATTGGCTAACTAAAAATATATAGAAAAAATTAGCCGAGCATGGTGGTGCATGCCTGTAGTCCCAGCTACTCAGGAGGCTGAGGCAGGAGAATCCCTTGATCCCAGGAGTTTGAGGTTGCTGTGAACTAGGCTGACTCCACCACACTATAGCCTGGCTGACAGAGTGAGACTCTGTCTCAAAAAACAAAAAAACAATAAAAAAAAAAAAAAAAGAAAGAAACAGCCTGTCTAGCCCAAAGGCAAACCGAATGGGTCATAACACATCTACAGAGGTGGCAGAGCTATTCCTGTCCCTGGCCAAGTACTTTGAGTTCCTTGGAAACCCAACATTGGGAAACAGGAGTAATCATCACGGCTCTGCTCTCCGAACTCCTGCCCTATGCCTCGGGGCCCTGCTGGGCCTTCGGAGAGCTCTGGGCGTGTCCCTGCCGGCCCTGGGCTCTGAAACCAGGTTCTAGTCTGGTGTCCCAGCCTGCAGGCGGTGCTGGGACTGAGAAGGACGGTGATCCCTATAGAGTCCTGGAGGTATCAGGGACGGAGAGAGACCAGGTCTAACCGCAACCCCGGGCGGGGCTCTGTCTGCTCTGCCGCAGGCGCCTATGACCGCTTCCTGCCCTACATCCTGATGGGAAGTCTGACCATCCTGACCGCCATCCTCACCCTGTTTCTCCCAGAGAGCTTCGGCACCCCACTCCCGGACACCATTGACCAGATGCTGAGGGTCAAAGGGTAAGACGGGCTCCTTCTTCACAGTGGTGGTGATGCCCTCGGTCTGGGCCAGGTCCAGGATCCCCTCATGGTAGAGGCCCCCCCCCCGGCCCCCACCAAACTCACAAGTGCATGGACTAGTTTAGCCGTCACAGGGTTATAAATAGCGGGGTGCTTACAGCCTGTGCTCTCTGGTCTGATCCGGGGCGGACGTGCCGCCACGCACATCTCCATGGCAGCGTGAGGAGAAACATCTCAGAATCCACTGCATGATTTCTTTTCCCCCCAGTGAAGATAGCCTCAGTTCTTGGTTGGTTGTTCTGAGACTGGCAGGCATCTTTTTAAGATGTGTTACTAACATTTGTTTTGCCTGTTTTTACAGAATAAAATACAAGCAGACTTCAAATCACAGGAGGATGTTAAGAGACGGCGAAGAAAGCCCAGTCATCCTTAAGAGCACGGCCTTCTAACGCAGGCTCCAATGAGTGAGGGACGTGAGAGGAAAAGACTGCATCTCGTCGGCCCGGCCCGTGCAGACGCGGAGCCCTTCGGGGACAAAGGCCATTACTGTTCATTCTCTTACCTGTGTCTGGCTCGCTGGCGGACGGCCGCCCAGACACAGAGGCCGCGTGGAGTCCCCGAGCACCACCTTCCTCTGGGGACACCGTGGCTGCCTTCCGACCACTTCAGATCAGTCCTGACGTTCATGACGGTGCACTCGACACTTCCTAAGGAGTTGATAATTGACCAGAGCCAAGGGGGATTTGGAAGAATGTGAGAAGAATCTGCTAGATTTACATTTTAATTCTAGACAACCTGAAAAGGCCCCTAATAAAACTGCAGGCCTAAGTCCCCCCACCCTTCCTTCTAACGGTGACCTTTAGAGGAACAGAAATAGTTTCCCAGGAAGTTTGATTTCTCACCTTTACTTGGTTACAAATGACATTAACTAGGACAGTCCCTACCCAGGGCAGGAGAGCACAGGGTCTGGGTAGAGCTAATGGCACTTCGAGATGGAGAGTGAGCAGGTGCAGAGTATGGGGCGGGCAAGTGCATTGTGTGCGAGCTCTTGGGCTACTCGGTGTGACGCTGGGTGGGTTTGTTTACATCTGATCAAAGCACTGGGCTTGTCCAGGCCCATACGAAAAACATCATTAGATCCACTATTCTTGTTTTCCACTGCTGTGTGAATCAAACCTCCTCACTACTGTGGCTTCTTGGATATGGTTTGAAGGAAGTGTATTAGTGAGAAAGAGAGACAAGCAACTTTGTCTTTTCTCTGAAAACTGCAGTGGGTTTTGTTTTGTTGTTTTATTTGTTGTTGTTGTTGTGTCTTTTTCTCCTTAAGTTATTTGCCTTTCAGAATAGACTTGGGGAAGGCTGGTTCCTTAGCCTCCTGGTGTGTGTCCTTTCCTTTCTCCTTTCCTTTCTCCTTTCCTTTCCTTTCCTTTCCTTTCCTTTCCTTTCCTTTCCTTTCCTTCCCCTTGTGTGTCGTCTATCCACACTGGAGTCCCTATTCACCT